TTTTTAATTAATTACAAAGTTGATACACAAAATATAAGAAGAGTAGCATAGTCATTTACTATCTAAGGATATTTTAGGTATTTCATTTATTTATTTACCTTTATTTAAAGAATGGGTTACTTAAACAAATAAAGTGTTCAAAGGATTACTTAAATAAAATGATCAGTTGACTCTGACCCATTTAAATAAAGACCCCCTTCTTGTTCCTTTAATGAATTAATCTGTAGAGTACTTGGATTATTGCAGGATGTGAAGTCTAATAAAAGTCCTTCAGAATCTGTTTGATACACAAACTTTCTAATGCATCAGAAAAAAAGACAGACAAGACAGGTTTGAAGAGAGCAATAGATGCTATAAGAAGAGAAACATATATAGGCTTGGTTCACATTCACTGATTAACTGCTTACTTGACTCTTAGCAGCTTGGTTCTATGTAAATTTCTTTCATTTCAGATAAAGAGCACCAAATATTATTTTTAGACAGAGTTTATATAGCTTTATGTTCAATTCCTGCAAAACACCATCGTCTGTTGTGGCCGGATTCGCGGTGGTTCGACGATAGACAACAATGCTACAAGATGGTCTGACTTCTTACCCCATATTCGGCAACCATTAGCCTAGTTTGAACAACCTAAGATTCAACAAAACCGATTGAAAGGCTCTGATTCATTATCTCTGGTCATTCTCGGTGGTTCGATGACTGAATTGTTATGTTTTTGCACGATCACTTCTCTCTCCCCAAAGCGGCGGGTACTACGCGAGTGCGTATCATTCGGTGTACGTGCTGGGTCAGTGACAAGGTTATTTGAGCGGCTAAGACTGCACGAACTATGTGAAAATCACAATCGACAAGTCCAAGTCTGTGTGTGGTGGCTCGATTTCTGTACAGATTTACCTTTTCATTTGGTTCCCTAATGTGAACAATCAGCCTGATTCATAAAAAGTTTTTAGGTGGAAATATTTCTGCATTCGTTTGATTTTTTTCCATTCAAAATTTCGAATTTGATAGCTTCAATTGCCGGGAATGCTGCTATTGTTAATCTACTTTCCTTCTTATCATAATCTGGTTGCAATAGATCAAAGTATGATAGCTTCAATTGCCGGGAATTAGTTGTTATGTTATAGGTCTCTCAACAGAAAGTTGAAAACTCTTCCTTGCTGAAGCTCTTCACTGACATAAGCCAGAAGTACAATGAAGCAACTGTTGATAGTAAAGTCCTTAAAGCTGACGTTGAGGCTCTGAGAGTCGAGGTAACTTCTATCATCCTAAATCCAAAACAATGATGACTCTCACTCTCACGAGGTATCGTGTGGGTTTCACATAATAGGATCTCTTTTAGTGAAAAGTTATTATGTGGGACGGAGTAGCGGTGGCTCCAATAGGGTCCAATTTCATCTCTTTAGCAGTTCTAAAGATGTGTTATTGTTATGATAATGATAATATATGGTCTTGGCAGAAGAGTGAAAATGTCGATGTGGAAGCTAAAGCTACATTAGATTCTACGGGCCATCAAGATCTATTTGAACACAACTTCAAGGAACTCAAAAATTCGGGTTAACGTAAAGTCCTCGTGATTTGGGTCCCTCTTTGTTATACATGAGAGACGTAAAGGGAGTCTTGGAATTGCACTAAAGGTACTTAATATTTTTGAAGTGTAAGCTAAGCTGAAAATGAAATGTGACATGAAAAGGAAGTATCTCTATGTAACAGATGGAGAACATTTATTACGTAAAAAAATTATTGTAAGTTATATTGGTGTAAAATTGTTAACCTCCAATTTTTCAGAACCAGGTGTTAAATTACATGATCCAAGAGGACGGCCACCCCGGGGGGAAGAAATTTTACGATTTGAAGCTTTAACGATAGATGCATATTCGTTTCCCGGCGAGTCTTCCTCTCTTCTGAGGTTCTGCACTTTTGTTTCTGTACAATTGCGTCACTTGCCATATGATTGTTTTGTTTATCATTGCCTCTTTACCGTTCATCTACATACATGTTTTTGTCATATGCTCTCTGATTTCTATGGAGATTTTTATTTTTCGGTAGATTTTGTTGAAATGTGACAAGCTCTATTGTATTCATTGTGTGTTCGGCTTATTTTATTCTTCCAGCAAGTTTGTAAATTCCATGATTTTTATCGATTCTAATTGAAACTGTAAGATCGTCGTATTGTTTGGTGCCATTAAATTTCTTAGATTTTACAGTTGGCGAGCCACACACTAAAGTTTGGTACTTGGAACTTTTGAGGATGACATCTTCATAAAGCATAGGCTTTTGACCTGAACGACCACAACAAGAGGCATGCCACCACTGAAGAAGTTCGTGATTGTCACGACTAAAGTTGACAAAGAAGCCGAGAACTATGAGAGCGAGTGTGGATGTTTATCAAAGGCCTTCTTGCAGACCTCTAAAGAGATCTCATTGTTTGGGGGAATTTTAAACTTATACAAATTTTAAGTTTGAGAATGAGTAAAGATGCCATGCATATCTATCAAAGCAAAAGCATCGAGTAACTATGAACCCAAATTTTACGCTTAATTATAGATAAAACTGGGTCCGGCTGTAAGACCACTAGTAAAGCATGACGTGATTAAACAACGTGTTGGCTGTGAATTGCAAAGTAAACGAAGAAAATATGTAGTAGCATATAAAATATGGAAAAATGCTAAGGCTCCGTTACGGGATGGTACCATCAGTGTTTTTCACCATTGGATAGAAATATAATTTATGTTCTGTGGATAATCTACGGGAACCAACACTGACGGAATCATCCCGTCAACGGAACTGTAATAGTCCAGAAAATATGAGGCGGTCATTAATTAATGTAAATTTTTTCTCCAGTCATCAGCAAACATCATTCGTGCATGTAAAATAGAGATTTTTTAGCATAAATATCTTCACAAAAGACCCCATGCCATTTTTTATTTTTTGATATACTGTAACCAAAAAAACTAATTATCTAAAGATTTCCATGCCAATTGAAAGCGAATTTCTCGCTTTCTATACGTTCTTCTCGAAGCATCTAAGAATGAATCCCATGGCAGAGGAGTCCACACACCAGCATCATCATCAAAAAGCTGCACATTTACTTCTTTGAGATCATTCACACTCGACATAAGATGGCTCCCGATCGAGAATTGCCCCTTCACTCCCTCAACAAGTCTCTTCCCGAGAAAATCATTGTTTGTTTTCCCACCGCAACTCGACTCCGGAAGTAGGTAGTGCGTTACGAACTTCGGACGGCATATCCGAAACAAACCATCGAAAAGGACGCAACAAGTTAAAGACGACAAACCATCCAAGTCCACCGTGAAAGTATCCACCTCAACGGATTTCGTCACGCCTTGAAACTCGTCCGCCTCATAATCGAAAATAGTTTTGGTGCCGAGACGGAGACAAATATGAATCTCCGACCGCCCCAACTCCTTCACAAGATTTTCCAACTTTCCGAACCATGCGGTGCTCAAGCCACGATTTTCCGTTATAGCTAGTCGAGACACGACCCAGAATTTCGAAGTTGGTGCAAAAGAGATGTGATGAACGAGAGAACCTTCGTACGTGAACTTGCGGAGACTCGGAACATCAAACCTGATTTTTTTC